GATCCGTGCTTCCTTATATTTAATCGCTTCGCTCATTCCGCCGGCCCGTATTGTGCCATCGCAGGCGTTTGCTTGCGCTTTCGTGGCCTCTTGGAGCCTCGGTGGGGCCGTTTGGGGCCTCTTGGCGCCTCTTTTTAGGCCTCTTGGAGAACTCGGGAGGCCTCCATGGGGGCCTCCTGAGCTCTCGTGACGGTCTCTTGGGGGGCTTTCGGCGGGCTCTTGGCGGTATTTGTTGGTCCTCTTGGGGCCTGGGGCCTGACGTTGTTGGTCCTCTTGGGGCCTCACGGGAGCTTATTGGGGCGTCTTGGGGGTGTCTTGGAGAGTCTCTTGGGGCCTCTTTCGGGGTCCTGGGCGCCTTCTGGGGCGGAGGGCTCGATTTTTCAGTTCTCGGTTCCCTTCTTGAGCCCCTCTTGGGCCCGTCTTGGGGCCTCTTGGTCCGCCTTGGGCAGCACTTGGGCCGTCTGGGGGGCGCTCTTGGGCCGCTCCGGGGCCGTCTTGGGAGCCTCGTGGGCCGTCTTGGAGCAGTCTTGAAGGCCTCTTGGGCCCTCTTGGAGCGTCCGGAAGCGAAAAGGCCAGAACGCAAAAAAAACATGGAAAAAACCATGAAATCAACGATTTTGGCAACTTGGGGCCCTCTTCGGAGGCCTCTTGGAAGGCCCTTGGAGCGTCTTGGAGACCTCTTGGGCTGTCTTGGGGCCATCTGGGGCGTCTTCGGGCGATCTTTGGCCGTCTCGGGCCTCTCTTGGACCGTCTAGAAAGCTTCTCGGGGCCCTCTTGGACCGATCTGGAGCCCTCTTGGACTCCGAAACAGAACTCCGGCATCTCTGACCCGACCTTGGACTTGCCGGGACCTTGCCGGGGTACTTTTCGTCCGGGGACCCCCAGGGGCCGCCCCGCGCGCGCGAACTAGAAATACTGTTAACCAGGTACCGGAGATCTTAGCACGCCCTGGCCCGTTGGGCCGGCGAATTTTTCACTATATAGCATACTGCACTTACTGGCGGTGGTTCCTTGCCTCCCGTCCCCTGCTGCTGCTCCCTTCCCGCTCGTCCTCCCCGCTCCTCCCTGCTGCCGCCCCTCCTCTTCTGCTGTTGCTGCTGCTGTCCACCGCGTGGCGATGTGCTTCTGTCGCTGCACCAGAGCCATTGGTACGTGCATGATGGGCGCGGGAATCTGCAGCGCACCTCAGTCTTTTTTGTCGGTTCGGTGCGTCTGGGGAGGCAATCGGTGCTTCTATGGAAACAAATCCGACCCCATCTGCTCGGGCCCCAGCAAGGAGGCCTCTGTCCTCCGAGCTCATGCAGCCGAGGCGATGGATTGTGGTGCCGCACGCACGCGAAACAAGGCATCGGCTTGCCAGCGGGTGCTCCACGATGGTTTTCGTACCCCCAAATCGGTCCCGCTGCCCTACCGCTGCCAGGTGTGTTCCCAGCAGACGCGTCGGGCCGCTCCCCACTGCACTGCGGTCCCGACTGGGAAAGGGGCCGCACGCGCCTCCCTCCGGCGGCCGTCCGGGGCCAGCTGGTCAGTCGTCCGAGATCAGCTCAGGGAGACCCATCACTCTGCTCCACGCGCCTTCGCCGTCTCGCGCCATGCTTGATCATGGTTCCTCCTCCTCCTCGTCCTCCTCCTCCTCGTCCTCCTCTTCCTCCTCCTCTTGGCCACTGTCACTCTCACGCCGTTTTTGGATGAGTTCAGGGACCGACTTAGAGGTCCACTCATTTCACTGCCTGTCGGCTGGGAACGTGAGCCGACGGATTTCTTGTATTCTGTGCGAGGTGTGGGATTCATTCCACTGTTGTTTTCAAGGGGCTGCCGGAGGAGTGCAAGGGTCCACCACAGAGTGGCAAAAGATACTCTGCACGAGCGTGACTGTTGTCGGGACTCCACCCAGACGGCGGCAAGCCTTCTAATGACATCGAGCATGTCAAGGCATCCCAGCAGCACCAGAGTCACAGACGGGCCTCCAGCTACGGAGGCTGAAGGCTATCGGGGTCGCCGACCCAGAGCGGCGCTCCTTCTGCCCTTGAGTGATTTCAAGCCTTCAGAGCCCTCAGAGCCTGATGAACGCCTGTTCACCAAACATCGCATTACGACAATTTCACCGCTCCTAACGGATTGGAAAGGTAAGGCTCGCCTGGCGGCAACTACACCGCCAAGTCCCGTTCCCGCGGACTACCGTGACCGCGCTGCTGCGGCTCAGGTCGATTCAGCAATGTTCCAGACTGCATTAGTGAGGCCTCTCGCGGAAGAGGCGGAGATAGAGGCAGGAGGGGAGGACGACGACGCTCCTCACCTCCTGGGCCCCGGTACCCAGACATCCGACGTCTTGACTTTTTCATTTTGGGGGCCCCAGAACGCCCGACCTTTTTCCAGAGCCGGCCTTTCGTCCTGAGCCGTTTTCTGACGGCCCCGGGGCCTGGCGAGGGCCCCCCAGAGGCCAAAACCGACGAACAACCTCTGTCTCGGTTTTTCTTGCTGCGCCCGATGGCTGGGTCCTCCCTCCGAGGGCCTCCTGTGCCCAACCCGCTCCCTGGCCTGCCGCAGAGGACAGGATCAGCCGACTGGTAACGGGGTCAGCGAAAATTCGCGGGTTGCTAGAGGTGCCCCCGGCCCAAGGGCCCCCTAGCTTTTCGCTCGATTCTGGAGCCCCTGGGCCCCCTGAGCCTCGTGATGGGGTGCTCGTGAGGCCGTGGGGGCCTCCTTGGAAATCCTGGGGGCGCATCTTGGGTCAACACCCGACAGGTGGGGCTCAGTCAGAATGCCAGATCCTGCAGGATCATGCGAAGCTGGATTCTGGCCGAGGCAGGTTTCGAAGCAGACTGCGGCCCTAGAGGTTGCCTTACACATTGGTTGAGCCAGATTTGGGAATTGGAGACTAAACATTGACATGAATATAAAAATCTGAGGTCAGCGCAGAGTTCTCGGATCGGCTCTGCACCTCCCTCCTTGGCGCGCAGAGTGCGCCCTGGGGCGGCGCCGCCAGGGGGCCCCAGCGCCGATCCGAGGAATCCGCGCGGAACTCCGAGTTTTCAATGCTCATGTCATTGTTTGTTCCCCCAGAGAAGCTTCCCCACTTTGCAGCGCAGCCTCTCCTGAATGGACTGTGGGCCGGGCTTGCCCCGCGCCGGGTGAGTCCACGCCCGAGAGGAGCTGCTGTGCAGGGCCCCCCCCCTTCCAGACCTCCGATGATTTCTGCATGTTTTTTCGATGCGCCGCCCCCGAACAAAATCTGGTCGTTGGAGATCTGATGTGAAATTGTTCCCGTGCGCCCGCCCCCGAACAATTCTGGTCGTGTTGGAGGTCTGGGTGCCCCGCCCGCGCCCCGGCCTGCTGCCGCAGAGGATCGACTAGATGTCAGAGTGACCCTTCGCCGGAGTGACCCCTGGTGCGGGCCCAGTGGGGTCCCCCGATCGCCGAGCGCGATGCGACGGTCGCGTCCGGCGCGCCTGTGCTTGGTCACCCCGCGGCCCCCGGAGAGCCGCGCACCCACAAGGTCACGCCCAATTGCCCAGTGCCACTCTCGCGTGGAGCCGCAGAGGGGCTGCCGCGGAGGAGCTCCTCTCCCGCCCGCGCCCCGGCCCGCTGCCGCAGAGGAGCTGCTGTGCAGGGGCTACCCCACGCACCTCGGCATGCGCGGGGCGAGGGACGACGACCTGTGCCGCCTCGCCGGGGGAGCCGGCCCGCGGCGCCCGCGGCGGGCACACGGGGGGAGCGCTTTCCCTCTCCGGGGGGAGGCTCGGGGTCAACGTCAGGGGTGGGCATAATCAGTGGCGGCCAAGAGTCCGAGGAGGAAAAGGTACCCATGCCTCTACCCCTCTCGTTTTCCCCTTTTTTCGCCTCCTGGGCGGCCCTCATCGCCACCGCTGGATTCGCCTCGAAATCCTGGTCAGAACGCATCCCAGGAGAGGTCCGGGGAGTAGAGGTATCGGTACCTTGTGGTCTCCCAAAAGAGGGGGTGATGACTAGGGGGGGGGGACATCATAGCGTGGGCCATGATATCTCCTCAGATTTTATGGCGTCTCCGGGGGAGGACCCCCTCTCTAGGGGAACGAAAAAAAACATAAGCACAAAAACTCGGAGGTCCGCGCGGATTTCTCGGATCGGCGCTCGACCCCCCTCCCTGGCGCGCTCCGCGCGCCAGGGGCCGGAGGCGCCACCAGGGGGCCTTAGCGCCGATCCGCGAAGTCCACGCGGACCTCCGAGTTTCTGTGTTTGCTTCATTCTTCGTTCCCCTACTCTCGGGGGGAGGCTCGGGGTCAACGTCAGGGGTGCCTAGGCTCAAGGGGGGATAATTACTGCTGAGGCTCAGGGGTGCTTAGGCTCAGGGGGTGCGCTCAGGGGGAGGGCCCGAGTGCGCACTTCCGGCGTGGATGCCCAAAGAAGCGAGATCAGAACCTCCTCCGACGAGGTGTTTTTTGCAATCGCTGCGGTTTTCGTGGGTTTCGGTTTCTGGGAGCCGCAAAATGGAGCAGGCATGATAAATTGCCCCAGGAGAAGGGGTCGGCAGCTAGGGGGCAACGGATGGAGCAAGAATGCATCGTCGGATGTCTGGAGCCCCCTTCCTGTCGCGCGGAGGTCGCCAGGGGGGGTCCAGCGCCGATCCAAGAAATCCGCGCGGACCTCCGAAAGTTTGTGCTTCTGTGGTTCCCAGCTGGTCTTTTTGATCGCGGCGTGTTGCCTCAATCCAGGTCTCCTAGGGCCGCTTGTGGGCGCCTGGGGGCCATGAGGAGTGGATGTGGGATGAAAGCTGTCCCCGGGGAAGGGGGGCGAGAGCTCTGGGGCCGCGGATCTTCAAATACACCCTCGGATGTCTGGAGATCTTTCAAGCCACAGTGCTGGCGGACGCTCTTATCGAAGACGCCTTCGGCGAATCACCGCCGCTTCCCTGCCTTTTCGGAAGCGCCTGCGTGGCCGAACGTTGGATTTGAGCTTGGCCAAGCTATCGGGCCACGCGTTCCCCGAGTGGGTTTCGAAAGCCTTCGGGGAACACGGCGTCTGGCGAGCTATCGGACCAGGTGGTCTCCGAGCTTTCGGGCCTCCTGGAGGACGTCTCGGAGGGGTTTTGGGCCGTCTCGGAGGCCTCTGGCGGGCCTTTCGGGTAGTCTAAGGCCATCGTCTAAGGCCATCTTCAGGCCATCTGGGGCCGTCTTGGGTGCATCTTGGGGCCATCTTCGCCGTCTTGGAGGCCTTCTTGGCCGTCTTGGAGGCCATATTGGCTGTCTTTGAGGCCATCTTGGGCGTCTTGGGGGCCTCTTGGGCCGTCTTGGGGTCTTGTTGGGGCCCTTTGGGGGCCTCTTGGCATGTCATGGGGCTGTCTTGGAGGCCTCTTGGGCGCTCTTGGGGCGATGTTGGGGTCCTCTTGGGCCGTCTTGGGCCGTCGGAGAGCTGAAAGCACGAAAATACCCACATCCTTCAAACACCTAGGACAAATCAATGCTGTTGGCCTCTTCGGGCCTTTCTGGTGGAGCTCTTGGAGGCCTCTTGGGCCGTCTTGGAGGCCTCTTGGAGGACTCTGGGGCCGTCTTGGTCCGTCTGAAAGGTTTCTTGTGCGATCTTGCAGGCATCGTGGGCTCTCCTGGACAGTCTTGGAGGCCATCTTGGACCATCTTGGGCGAACCTGGAGGACATCTTGGCCATCTTGGAGCCATCTGGAGCAGGAACAACTTTTGGAGCCACCTGTTACGCATCTTAGAGGCCAGCTTGAGCCGTCTTGGAGAATGTTTTGCGGTCGTTGAGGTGGTTGCGGGGTCTTTCGGGGACCCCGGCGGGATCGGCCGAAGCCCCAGTGGGAGTTCTTTGGGAAAAGAACCAAAACCAAAATCGAAAGGATCTAGCACGCCCAGCACCCCTGTGATGAATCAACAGGGTGCGGCGGATCGAATGGTCTTCGGCCCATCCCGCCACCGCGCCTGGGTTGGGTATGAAGCCTAGTTATTTGATGTTCGTCGAGATCTCCTGGGAGGCCTCTCGGAGCCTCTTGGGGGCCGTTTTGGGGCCTCTTGGGGCCTCTTTTTGGCCTCTTGGGCGCCTCTTCGGGAAGGTTCGAACTTTCGGTAGGTGTTCCCTCTCTTGGGCCCCGTTGAGGCCGTCTTGGGGCCCTCTTGAGCCGTCTCGGGCGCCTCTTGGGCCGTTTAGGCCGTTTGGGGGGGCCTTCTTGGTCTTGGGGTCCTCTTGGGCCGTCTTGGAGCGTCGGAAACAAGCGGGACCGCCAAAGTCTATCAACAACCTGCGGGAGATCAATGATGTTTGCCTCTTGGGGCCCTCTTGGGAGGCTTCTTGGAGGCTTCCTGGGGCCTCTGAGAGGCTTCTTGGGCCATCTTGAGGCCCCCTTGGGCGTCCTCCAACGATCTTTCGGCGACTCGGGGCCTTGGACCGTCTTGGAGGGCCCTCTTGGCACGTCTTGTGGCCCTCTCTCGGCTCCGAACAAATCACGCGACACGACGCGACACGCCTCGAGCGATTTGGCAATGTGGGGTCCCGGCCCCTGAAAGAAACTTCAGGAGTGAGGAGTGAGGCTCAGACGATTAGGAAACGGACCTGAGGACACGCCCTCCTCGTGCCAAAGGGCACGGTGGCGGATTGCATGGTCTCAAGGATTCCTATGCCCTGATCTTTTCAAACGCCCCGCATCTTCCAATCGACCTGTGGTCCTCGAATCTCGCTCGTCAGGAGAGACCAGCAATTCCCTGGTGGTGACAGCCCTTAGCATTGCCTGAAGAAGCGACCTCTCTCAGTCCAGTGCCAGCGGATATTCGAGTTCCAGAATTTCAGGGGAACCTCCATCCTCCTCGACCCTCGATCCTCCCCGACCCTCGATCCTCCCCGATCCTCCTCGTCTCGTCGATCCTCCTCGTCTCGTCGATCCTCCTCGTCTCTTCGATCCTCCTCGTCTCTTCGATCCTCCCCGACACTTCCTCCTCTTCTCTTCGATCCTCCTCACCTCTTCGATCCTCCCCGTCTCTTCAGTCCTGCATTCTCCTCGTCTCTTCGATCCTCGATGCCGAGGCTCGACTCGCGCGCGGCTCGCGCGCGGCAGGAGCCCCCGTGCTCCAGGCCACGGCCGCCTGCGTGGCCGCGCTGTTGGCGGTGTCCAGCCCCCAGCTGCACTCGCAGCGCGGTGGCGCGACCAGGTCGTCCCGAAGACCCAAACCACGGCATACGCATCATATCTCGGCGTTTCTGTGTGGAATTCTTGGATCGGCGCTGGACCCCCCTCCAGCAGGTTTATGCCGTGTGTTGTTCCTCTGTCGTCGGGGGGCGTCAACCACAGGCCTTCAACGTGCAGCATGCACATCAAACAAGAAATCGGCTTTGTCAGCAGGTGCCGGCTGGGGGGCTGAGGTTGCCCAGCACTGGTTCTTGCCAGCAGAACGGGTGGAGAAAGGGGCCCCATCGTCGCCACAGTTGGACGCGGCTCGAAGAGCTGGTCAGTTTCGACCCTAGGAGAGGTTAGGGGACCGATTTTGAGCGAGTCTGGATTCATCTCCCCTCGCGACATATTCTCTCTGAGCTTTTCCAGCTCAGGCCCCCCCCGGCCGCGTCTATGTCGGGCGACGTCAGCCACATACCTCAACGAACAGAAGGCACATCAGATAAAGAGTCGGCCTGCCAGCAAATTTCTCATCCCCCCATGGCCCCGTGGACCTGCAGCAGCTCTGGGGCACCTCAGGCCCCTCAAAGATCGACGAATGATGCGCCCCAAGACTTCGCGTAGCAAAAAGTCTTACCGTATGTGCCTGCTGAATTACCAGAAAGGATTTGGAGCTGGTTCGCAGTTCTCGGCGGCTGGCGGCCGTTTCCGACCCTTGGGACCGTCAGAAGACTGTTGGGGACGAGAAGCCGGTCCCCGGAAGAGGGTCGAGAGGTACGGCCCCTCCCTGGCGGCCGTTTCCGATCCCTGTCAGAGAACCATCGGGGACGAAGAGGATCGAGAGGTTTGGGGGTCCCCGCTTGTCGCTTATACGTGGGAGTGATCGTTCGCTGGAGCGACCTTTGGTGCGGGCCCAATCGGGGCCTCCCGATCGCTGAATGCGACGCCACAGCAGCCGCTTGCGCGCCTGGCGGCGTTCCCAAAGGGCGCCCCCTGAGGCCGCGCACCAAAGGTCGGCGCAGTGGGGGGCGACCAATGGTGGGCAGCGAGGGCTGCAGAAAAAGGGGCCCTTCGGCCGAAGCTCCCAAAGGGGCCCTGCAGGGCCCAGGGAGGGGGGCTCATAGGGCCCGAAAAGCGCACCTTTCTTCCTCCTTCTCCTCCTCCTCCTCCTCCTCCTCCTCCTCCTCGCCCTCCCCATGAAGCGACGCCCAGCCGGTCCCCCCCCGTGTCCGGGGCCCAGGGCGGGCCCGGCCAGGGCCCGCGGGGTGGTCCGCGGGCGCCCCCCGCGCAGGTCCCTGGAGCTGCCGCCGGCGCGCCTCGCGGAGGGCGGCCTGCCCGCCGCCGCGCGCCTCCCTCGCCGGAGATCCGACGCTCCGAGAGAGTTGCAGCGGCCGCTTTGGGGGCCGTTTTCGGCCTCCGGGGGCCCTCGCCGGGCCCGGGGACCGTGAAACAAATTGTTCAGGACGGAGATCAGGAGGGGAAAAAACACACACAGGCACCATGAATCGTCGATTCCCCCGAAAATATGGGAAAAGATGGGAATTGGGAGGGGAGACGAAAACCCAGAAGATATCGGGAAATAGGGGGAATCCTGTTATGTGTGTTTCTTTCTTTGTGTGTCCAGGGGCCCCTTCAGAGAAGCCGGCCCTATGGAAGGGGTCCGGACCTGCGGGGCCCACGCGTCGAACAGATTTGAGCAGCCGGATGTCAAGTGGGGCGGCTTGCCCGCCCTCGCGCCTCCCTCGCCACGCGAGGCGTTCCCAGAGGCGGCCCTTGCCTTCGAGGATCGAAGGAGTTGCCACCGCTTCGAAAGGTTGACCGCCCCAGAGATGGCAGCGTCTGGGGGTTCGGGGTTTCTGGAACCCGCCATGTGCCCGCCTCTCCTCCCTTCTCCCGCCCCCCTCTGCCGTCTTGTCTCGGGGGCGGCTGAGAGAGACTGCCCTCCTGCACCAAAAAAGTGTAGGGTCAGAGGCACCGCGGCGGAGTACGGCTGCCCACCCGGATTAGAGATCCCACCCGCCCCTGCTGGGCCTACAATTTCGGGGAATCGTCGGCGCGGACATTCACGAGTAGGTTGCCAGCCCTACTTCCCGTGCCGCGCCAGAACTATGCGGAAGCCCTGCCTCGAAGCAGTGATTCATGTTCGCGCCTTTCTTCCCCGCACAGGCGAGCAATGCTGCCTTCCATGGCATCAGCAGGCCATGGGTAGGCCTGGCTATGTGAAGGTCGCGGTAGGCCTTCCTATTCCTCCCCCATCCTCGCTCTTCCCTGCCTCCCGCGCTGCTTCTTCACGCAGGGGTTTTGACACACGTTAGGGTCTACGAACATGCGCTCGCACACATGGGGTTTCACATACTTGGGGCTCCACATACGCATATGGGCTGCCACACTCGTTGGACTGATGGGTTTCCGCACGCGCGGGGTTCCAAGTGCTCGTGGAGGTTCGCGCATGTGGTTACACACCCATGGGGTTCCATGCGCATGCGGTTCCACTCGTATATGGTTTCAGCTGCACGGTGTTCCACACACACACACAAACACGTGAGCTTCTTCACAGGTTTACATTCACGGGATTCCACCGTGTGGGGTTCCGCACACATGGGGTTCGATGATTGATGCACGAACGAACTGCTTGGGACCCACGCGCTCGCATTGCTTTTGGGCATTGTGTTCTTTTGCGAGAGGGGAACCAACTAAGGCGTGGGAGCCAACATGCCTCGATGCTCGTGGCGACTCAGACACAGGCAACTCAGAAACAGGCAGAGGGCCCGACACATGCGATCCGCGGCAAGCGCGGCGAAGGTGGCGCATTTGATCTGCCCAGAGTTGGCACTACATGACGTTGGCTTCGCCATCATCGTCCATCGTATGAAAGGCAGACCATTGGCCTCTATCCGTGCCTGCGGGGGACGCTGGCATTGAAGCCCAGACCCCTTCAGATCAACCAGTTTGCCGTTGGCCCGTTGGGCTCTTGAATGCCGCTGCAGAGTTTTCACCTCAGAGGGTGGTAAGCATTCGCGCTCCTTCCCCGCCCTTGTCGCAGCTCCCCCAGCGCTCAATCCGCTCCTTGCTTTGTTCCAGGCCTCCCAGAGGGGGTCAGAGTAGATGGGGTCGGAGGATCGCGCCGCATCTCCGATGCATCCGCGACGCGGCTCGATGTGGAGTCCGATTTTATTCGCACGGACATCGCTGGATACATCGCCGATGCATCGACGATGCATCAGCGATGCGGCGAGACTCTCCGACCCCATCTACTCCGACCCCATCTGGGAGGCCTCCATCTGTCCATCGGCGGTTCCGCCCGAAGAGCCCCCCAGGAGCTCCTGGCCCGCATCCCGCCGCCCCCCACCAGCGCGCGGAGCATCGACAACCGCGACGGGGGCGTGAACGCCGGCGAGGCCGCCGCCCCGTGGGGTGTTCGGTCACGGCGGGCACAACGGGGAACCACTGCCCAGGGGAGTCGCGCCGCCCCACGTGGAACTCAGGGGCGGGGGCCCCCAATCGCCCATGCATCGCCGATAAGGGGCCCGACAGCCCACTTCCGCTCAGGAGCGTGCGGTTTTGCTATCGGGGGCTCATCGCCTATCTTTCGGCGATGTATCGCCGATTCCAGCTCGAAGTTCCCCCCTGAGCTGGTCCCCCCTATCGTTGCCCCTCAGGGAGTGGGCGATTGTAAAATTACCCGGTGACGTACCCAGCCCTTTCTAAACACCTGGCGATTTTACTAGGATCGCTTACTACAAACCAACATGTTGAAGGATTCGCAGCGCGCATGAGCTCTGAGAAGTACACAAAATTGACATGCAGGAGTGGCAAGACAGGGACGTGGACAGAAGCATGCGGAGGAGGGTGAATGGGGGGACGTGCGTGTTCAGTGACAGTAACAGCGCCTTGCCCTCTGATGCAAAACACCGCGTCGCGCTAAGCTAGCCACGCGCACGGGGTGGCATGGCGGGCCAGAGGCAGCTGAGGACGGGAGGCCACGCGGACAAAAGACAGCGCCACGCGCTGCGTGGCGCAGCGGCTCCCTGCGAGCTGCGATGCGAGAGCGCCGAGCGCTGCGTGACTGGACAGCGCCGCGCGCTATTGGAACTTCGGATGAGAGCACTTCGTCCCTGCGCGCCGTCGCGCAGCGCCGCACTTTGGATGAGAGCAGTCGCCGTCAGTTACTGTTCTCATCGCCGCCCGCGCCGGTGTGGCGCTGGCGGCAACTACTGTGAACTCGCCTGACACCTGACACTGCAGGTAGGTGCTTCCGTCAGTCGTGCGGGAACTGCTCCAGGCCGAGCTCGCGGGCCATCCTCTCAGCCGCCTTCCTGCAGCTTCCAGTGCCGGCGCCGATCGTCCGGAGGCGCGCGGCCAGGTCCGCTGGCGGCCCCCGGGACAAGCAGCCGAGGCCTGGGTCGTGCACCGTGGGCAGGCTGTCCGATGTCGTCGCCCTCGAGAGCGGGACATATACAGGTGGAGCCAGGTGCGGTCCATGTCGTCGGCATCCTCGCACCCGGCGTCGACAATCACGCCCTGGTGCATGGTCCGTCCCTGGCATGCCGTCGACGTCAGTGCCTGGGCGTGGGAGATCTGCAGACACGTGCGCGTGACTTTGTGCCTGCGACAGTCAAATGGGTTTGACGTCTGAGTTCCGATGAACAGAACAGTGGCGACAGGATCCCGTGCCACTCCACTCCGCTGGACCTCCCCGGAGCTAACGAAAGTGGCGACAGTTTCACACTTCGCGGCCCCCCCTAGGAAACCGCGATGTCCCAAATGGGTACCCGTGTATCCCCACTCCGCTGGACCTCCCAGGAACTTACGAAAGTGGCGACAGTTGCACGCTTCGCAGTCCCCCAGGGAGCCGCGAGATCTCGACGGGATCACCGAAATATTCCATTCCGCTGGATCTCCCAGTAGCCCACGAAAACACTGACAGTTTCACACTCTGCAGCCCCCCAAGGGGGGCGCGAGGTCGCATCTTAGCATGTTCGCTTCCTTTTGCCCCACTCGCCCCACTCTGCCTTGCCCCGCTCGCTTCTTCCTTTCCCGCTGGGTCTCCGTGCAACTCCACCCCGCGCGGCCTCCCAGGAGCCCGTGAAAGTGGCGACAATTTCACATCTCGCATCCCCACACGGAGTCGCGAAGTTTGAATTCGGTCCCCGTGCAAGTCCACTCCGCGCGATTATCAGGAGCCCACGGAAATAAAAGGCTATACTTTCTCATTTCGCAGCCCCCCAGGGAACCACGAGATCTCGACGGGATTCTTGTCCAATTCCTTCCGTTGGACCTCTCAGGAGCCCGCGAAAATGGCGACAGGCTCACAGTTCGCAGCCCCCCAGGGAACTGCAAGGTCTCAAGTGGGTCCCCGTGTAACTCCATCCCGCGCGACTTCTCAGGAGCACGCGAAACTGGCGACTGTTTCGCATTTTGTAGCCCCCCCAGGGAACCGCGAGATCTCGACGGGGCCCCCGTGCAACTCTACTCCATTGGACCTCCCAGGAGCCCACGAGAGTGGTGACAGTTTCACACTCTGCAGCTCCCAGAGAGCCGCGAGGTTTCAGCCCGGTTCCCGTACCACTCAATTCCGCGACAATTTCACACTTCGCAGCCCCCCAAGACAGCCGCGAGATTTCGACGGGATCACCGAACAAACCCAACTCCGTTGGACCTGCCAAGAGCACCCACCCACTCCGTGCGACCTTCCACGGGCCTACGAAAGTGGCGAAAGTGTGGCAGTCTCGACGGGATCCCCGTACAATTCCATTCCGTTGGGCCCTTCAAGAGCCACGGGAGTGGTGACAGTTTCACAATTCGCAGTGCCGCCAAAGACCGCTAGGATCCGGGCGCGATTGCGTGCAACTCCACTCCGACGGCAGTTTCACGCTTCGCAGTCCCGCAGGAAGCCGCGAGGTCTCAACGGGGTTGCGGCGCAAGCAGGACGCAGGAGAGGAACAAAAGAAGGCAGTGTCTGCGTGTCCCCCCACTCCGCTGGACCTCCCAGGAGGCAGGAAGCAGGAGGCAGGAGGGGGAGGAGGAAGCAGGGAGGGCCAGAGGAGGAAGGCTAGAGAGCGCAATGCTTTACTCGAGACGAGAACCCGACGGAGAAGGGTTGGGAAGCATCGTCCCGGTTCGTCGTCGTCGTCGCCGTCGGGGCCTCCAGGCCGCAGCCAGCGACCCAGACGAGAAATAACCACTTTCCTAAACTCGCCCGTGCCCAAGTAGTTTTGTTTTTCGGAGGTCGATAGACCTCCTACCCTGACGCGGCGATTAAGGAATTGGCCGTTTTTCGGTTCGCGAGAGGGCGTCGCGGCCGTCTTTTTGTTGCGGGTCCGGGTCCGTCGGTTTCGGTCCTAGGCCGTTGTCATCAAGGGGAGGTTTGCTAAAGGGAGGTTGGTCCACCGCCGATTGTTCCATCCGTTTGGTCGCCTCCGCACGCCGACCCCCTGGCGTGGCGATGCCTTCGGCTCCCTGCAGGACGTGGGCAGGGGGCCGGCAGGGGGGCGTCGAGCGCGAAGGGGGGGGAGCTTCACGGGAGGGGGGAGGGGTCGACGGGGAGGGGGCTGGTCCGGTCGCGCCCGCAGAGGGGGGGCCCGGCCCGGCGGAGCGAGCACGGGCGCGGAGGCAGAGGGAGGGCGCAAGCGGAGGGAGACTCCACGGGACACGCCAGGGAGATCCATGGAAATCCACGGGAATCCATGGGGATCCATGGGGAGTCCTGGAGCTCACTCCACTCCAGGGGAACTCCGCGGGGCACTCCATGGAACTCTTGGGGGCACCTTGGGCCAGGGGCACACTCGGCAGCACGCGGAAAGAGGGGTTCGGCAAACTGAGGGCCAGAGGGCAGCGGGAGAGGAGCCTCATGTTTGCAGCTTGCATCCGAACGGGAGGCGCGGGATTTTTTGATCAAGGCTGGCGGGAAATGCAAACAGTGTCAATTGTTAGGAGGCGGCGCAGTCACGATGAAGCCATCGAAGAGCAATATTAGTTTTACTCGTGACTGGGCTTCGTGCGAGGCCGAGACGAACATCAAGGCCAGCGCGTCAGGCATATCTGTTTCATGCGATTGGGAAAATCGCTCTATTTCTGAGAGCGGCATTCTCGCATTCAAGCAAGAACCGTCGCTTGAGCATTCGCGTCGGCGACGCTGCCCGCTGGAAGCGCAGCACCAGGCCGCCCCCCGCCTCGCCACGCTTCCTGCCCACAGCATCCGCGCAGCCGACCTCGGAGGAGGTGCACGCCGCCTTGGCTGCCCTGGTACGCCCGTGTTGAAACGCAACACGTACCGCGTTCAAGACGTCCGTGTCAACGCGCTGCGTGTTGGCTCAGCATGCCTTGGTCCACGTCTTGGCGAGCGTGTCGCGCCAAACCTGCGTTCTCAGTAAACGTGTTGAGCTCCGTGTCAACACGCTACGGGCTGCGTGTGCCGTATCGGGGCAGCTAAGTTCACGCCCTTTCTTGCCGTGCCCCTTTCCGCTGCCGTGGCCCCCCTCCGAAGCACCCTCAGGGCTTGCAGGTGCCGGCTTCGCGTCCTCGGCACACCGTGCCGCCGAAGAGGTGCACGACAGGTCAGCGAGCCAGCACGACAGGTTGTCTGTGGCACTGCAGTCGAAGTCGATAGTAAGGCTGGGTATTCTTTCCAAGGGTACCCTTGCATCCCTGCCACCTCGGTCCGTCCTTACTCCCTCTCGATGGCCAGCCCCGCTCGAAAAACTTCGACATGGGCGCCCAAGGGGCTTGCATCCCCCTCGCGCTTGGCCCAGGCTTCAGTCGGGCCTGTCCCTCTACAGGAGGAGGAGTCAAACATAGCTTAAATTAGCCTGACGGAGGACCCAACCATATGCAGGTGTGAGTACCGCAATTGTGATTCACTTTTTCGGTGGTGATAATGAATCTGCGTGCGAGCGAGTCTACGTGCATGAATTCGAGTATGACAAAGCATGGTGTACTTGAATATGAATGTCAATCGTTTGAGAACGACTGCCTCTGAGTACTCGTGACGCTGGGCGTGGCCGCCGCAAGGAGCTTCCCCGGGACTCCCCGACGACATCGCCCGCGCGCTGCGACGCCAATGTCGGCGCGCCCCCCCGCGAGGATCGCGCCCGTTTCCCCTCCTTCTTTTACTCCCTCTTGGCCCGCGCACTCAAAAGTCCAAGGCTGCGTGCGCAGCGCAGCGCGGAGTCCCCGCGACGCGCGCTGGTCGCCCCGGAGCGGTCCCAGCGACGCGCGCGGGTCGTCCGCTGCGAGGAGCAAAGAGAGCTAGCTGGCTAATCCCCGCGACGCGCGCTGGTCGCCCCGGAGGGGTCCCAGCGACGCGCGCGGGTCGTCCGCTGCGCGGAGCAGAGAGAGCTAGCTGGCTGGCTGATAGCGGGCAAGGCTCTTGCCGCTGGGCAGAGCGACGACGGGCGGGCGAGGCGCTGGGCAGAACGCAGCACGGAGCTCCTGCGACGCGCGCTGGTCGCCCCGAGAGGGTCCCAGCGACGCGCGCGGGTCGTCCGCGGGGACCTTCGGTGGAGCTCCCTATGGGGCCACGAAGCGTTGTACTGAGTGAGGGAGACGCGTGCGGACTGCGCCACGGGGACCTTCGGTGGGGCTCCAATGGGGCCACGAAGCGCTGCGCTGGGTGAGGGAGACGCGTGCGGACTGCGCCACGGGGACCTTCGGTGGAGCTCCCTATGGGGCCACGAAACGTGCGGGGCGTGTGCCGAAATGGGTGTGCGGGACGCATGCGGGCACGCCCACTGGGACCTGGAGGTCCCTACGGAGCCACGAAAAGTGTAAGGGGTGTGCCGAAACGGGTGTGCGGGACGCATGCGGGCACACCCACTGGGACATTCGGTGGAGCTCCCTATGGGGCCACGAAGCGTGTGAGGGGTGTGCCGAAATGGGTGTGCGGGACGCATGCGGGCACAACCTGTGGGACCTCGGGTGGAGCTCCAATATGGGGCCACGAAGAGAGAGTCTGAAGGGTGTGCCGAAATTAGTGTGCGGGACGCATGCGGGCACACCCGCAGGGACCTTCGGCGGAGAACTCGATGGGGCCACGAAACCTGCTAGGGGTGTGCCGAAATGGGTGTGCGGGACGCATGCGGGCACACCCACTGGGACCTTCGGTGGAGCTCCCTATGGGGCCACGAAGCGTGTGAGGGGTGTGCCGAAATAGGTGTGCGGGACGCACGCGGGCACACCCACTGGGACCTTTGGTGGGGCTCCCTATGGGGCCACGAAACGTGTGAACAGTGTGCCGAAATGGGTGTGCGGGACGCATGCGGGCACACCCACTGGGACCTTCGGTGGAGCTCCCTATGGGGCCACGAAACGTGTGAAAGGGTGTGCCGACATGGGTGTGCGGGACGCATGCGGGCACACCCACGGTGGGGCCACGAAACGTGTGAAGGGTTTACGGAAATGAGTGTGCGGAAAGCATGCGGGCACACCCACTGGGACCTTCGGTGGAGCTCCGTATGGGGCCACGAAACTTGTGAGGGGTGTGCCGGAATGGGTGTGCGGGACGCATGCGGGCACACCCACTGGGACCTTCGGTGGAGCTCCCTATGGGGCCACGAAACGTGTGAGGGGTGTGCCAAAATGGGTGTGCGGGACGCATGCGGGCACACCTGTGGGACCTTCGGTGGAGCTCCCTGTGGGGCCACGAAACGTGTGAGGGGTGTGCCGAAATGGGTGTGCGGGACGCATGCGGGCACACCCACTGGGGCCTTCGGTGGAGCTCCCTATGGGGCCACGAAACGTGTGAGGGGTGTGCCGAAATGGGTGTGCGGGACGCATGCGGGCACACCCACTGGGACCTTCGGTGGAGCTCCCTATGGGGCCACGAAACGTGTGAGGGGTGTACCGAAATGGGTGTGCGGGACGCATGCGGGCACACCCACTGGGACCTTCGGTGGAGCTCCCTATGGGGCCACGAAACGTGTGAGGGGTGTGCCGGAATGGGTGTGCGGGACGCATGCGGGCACACCCACTGGGACCTTCGGTGGAGCTCCCTATGGGGCCACGAAGCGTGTGAGGGGTGTGCCGAAAGTGGGTGTGCGGGACGCATGCGGGCACACCTGTGGACCTTCGGTGGAGCTCCCTATGGGGCCACGAAACGTGTGAGGGTGTGCCGAAATGGGTGTGCGGGACGCATGCGGGCACACCCACTGGGACCTTCGGTGGAGCTCCCTATGGGGCCACGAAACGTGTGAGGGGTGTGCCGAAATGGGTGTGCGGAACGCATGCGGGCACACGCAGGAGGAAGGGGGAGGAGGAGGAGAGGAGGAGACGCGGGCCACCGTCTCTTCAAAACGAGGACCCAACACCACAGGATGGTTGGGAGAAACAGTATGGGGACGATTTCTCAATTATTCTTTAAAGCGATATGCTTTAACTCCTTTTACATTTTTTCCTCCGGAATCCGCCTGTAGCTGGCCATGCCCGACCTAAACCCAGGCCCCCGACGTCATGGTGTTTGGCGCGGCGTCGACCCCCAGAGGTCTCTCTCGACTATTTGTTTTGCATCGTTTTGACTATTCTAACCTTCCCTCCTAAATCCGCCTGTAGCTGGCCATGCCCGACCTAAACCCAGGCCCCCGACGTCATGTTGTCTGGCGCAGCGTCGAGACCCCCAGAGGTCTCTTTCGACTACGTTTTTGTTTTGAATATTTTGTTTTGGACTACGTCTAATGTTTTCTCCGAAATCCGCCTGTATGGGGGACATGCCCGACCTAAGCCCAGGCCCCCGACGTCATGTTTTCTGGCGCAGCGTCGAGACCCCCAGAGGTCTCTCTCGACCCCCTCCCTGGAGCCGACTGCCCATCCCGAGCCAGCTGCGGACGCACCCCCCGCGGCCGAGAACGGTCAAAGGCCGTCCGTCGTGATTTTTTCACGCGACGACGGCGACGACGACGACGTCGACGACGACGACGACGGCAACGATTGCAAGCAATGGCTACGAATTGCCCTTCGAGCGGGTCCGAGGCCCCCCGCCTCACCCCTCGGCCGCTCCCCGCCCGCGCAGAGGCGCCGGCCGCGGCCGCGCTCGCGACTCTTTTCACGACGCCAGGGGGGCTGGGATCCAGCCGCTGCGTCGTCGTCGGCGTCGGCGTCGGCGACGTTGTCGGCGTCGTCGTCGTCGTCGTCGTCGTCGTCGTCGATCGACGTCGCCATCGGCGAAGGATCGGCGCGCTGCCCTTCGCCGCCGAGCGGCAGCGCCGGCAGAGCGAGACGCCGCCGAGGCCGACGGCGGCAGCATCGTCTCCAGCCGCGCGGCGGCGCTGCTCAACCTGCTGGTGCGGCAAGACCTGGCAGTGGAGGGGGACGCCGGGCCGATCGGCAAGGCGCGCTCCTGGGGGTCGCCATCCCTTCTCCACCTCCGCCCCTTCCTCCCCCCCTCCTCCTCCTCCTCCTCCTCCTCCTCCTCCTCCTCCTCCTCCTCCTCCTCCTCCTGCTCGTCCTCCTCCTCCTTCTCCTTCTCCGCCTTCTCCTTCTCCTCCTCCTCCTCCTCCTCCTCCTCCTCCTCCTCCTCCTCCCCGTCCTCATCCTCCGAGACGTCCACGCTCTGCTGTGTCCCCCCTCCCCAGAACATGGGGGGAGGTTTCGCTTTCCCGAAGCGTGTTTCGGCGGTCCACGGGCCGATTTCTGTGGGCGACGTCGAGGCGCACGGCTCGCATTGTTTGCACTCCTGGCCAGAGTTTTCTCTGTTTTTCTGTTCCGTCTGCGGCAAAACCAGAAGGTCCTCACAGGCGGGACGTCGGGGCCTGCCTCAGGGGCTGCAGGGGGGAGCCCTTCGCAGGCGTAGGGAGGCACACTGCTTCCCCAACATAGATCTCTGCATACTCCTCGGCTATCTGTTCCTGGCCACTGTCATGTTCCACGCTTCTGGACACAACAATACGGTGCTGGACACCGCTGCACCAAAGAATGTGTGGCGATTCGTTGCCGACGCGTTGTGTTTGAAAGCGATGCGCACAAGCTCGAGGACTATGCCCGTCTGGAGTTCAGTACAGTGCAAAGCTTTGCTGACGCAGCACCACTGCTCAAAACATTACATCCCACCGCGCAGTCGGCAACTGGGTACTCGTCACTCTGGTCTGGTTGACTGTATCCTGCTACTCGGCGCGCCGCCTTCCTTCCCACGCACTTTACGGTACATGGTCAAGCGCTTGCCAACTCTTCCTGTGTGTCCCCGATCCCTTCCGCCAGTGGCTGTCTTGGCGTTGCAGTCAGTCGTGTCTCGTCTGCAAACATAGCGTTTGGTATCCGACATGCTCCGATGAACTTATTTCAAAATGGTACAGGTATATGACTTCGCTTTCCATTTTGCTGTTGACTCAACCAGTGCATGGCGGACATAGTTTGTGAAACTGCCGGCGGCAATGTGTCTCCTTGTTTGCCGCCGTGCGCTATACGAACATATATGTTGCGAGCGGCCAAGTCCAGTTACACGAAGCATTGTTGTGTGTGCGTAACGTATTTGGATGGCACCAAAGTCATTACTGCTCATGTCCGCAGCTTGCGGTCCAGTGCAGACGGCTACGTGCGCAGTCAAGGCGTTAAGGAAGGAACAGGTTGGCGTCGGCAAGGGGCTCGCTTGTTCCTTGGGTCCTTCCGCGATTTCTCCTCTAGCGCTCCTCGTGCACGCAGGCGCTTTCAGTTGCAACCAATGGCTTCGTTCCTTTTCTAGCGTTCCTGATGATAGCACGTGGATTGCACCATACAGATGCAATCCATACAGTTTCCCTTCACGCATTTTATTGTCGCTGATCATCCGCACGCATCGCACCACATCACAGCCTCCTCCTCGCCTCCTCCCCCTCCCCTCCTCCCCCCCGCCTCCTCCCCCTCCCCCTCCCCATCCGCCCCCCTGGGGCAGGAAGAGGAGAAGGCCATGAAGGTCCTCAAGAAGGCCGCCGACAGCACGCCGGACCCGCCCCCCCCCGCCGCCGCTGCGGCCGCGCCGCCGCCCTGACCACCGCTGCGCGCCGCGGGCGCCGGGCACCGCCTCTGCGCGCTGGCCCTGCCGCGGCGAGGGCGGCCGGGGCGGCCGGCGAGGAGCAGCCGAGGGCGGCGGCCAGGAAGCTTCCGCTATCTGGCTGCCTCGCAGCGAGGCAGCCAGATGGCGGAAGCTTCCTGGCCGCTTCCAGACAGCGAGGCCCTCGCTGAACCCAGACACCCGGCCGCTCCAACTCTTTCGAAGCGTGGGCCCCGGAGGTCCGGAGCATTTTCCCGGGACTGGTTTTGCGTCCTCTGAGTCGTCTTGTTGACGCTCCCGAGGCCCAGCGAGGGCCCCCAGAGATCGAAGATTGCCCAGCTCCCGCTGCTCCAATTTGGTGTGGAGCGTCGGATCTCAGGGATCCCCATGCGCAGGCGTTCCAGTGGAATGTTATGAGAGCATGTTGTGGTCTGCGCGGCGGGTTCTGAAGGCATTCCTGCTTGAGATCTCACGTCCTCTTTTTGATGCATCGGCTTTCTGCTCTGAGAGCACTGTTTTTTCCCTGTTGGAGCAGTGGTTTCTAAGAACATGTCGTGGTAGGCCCATAGGAATGCCGGGACGATCGGTCCCTGCCCAAGTAACCCAGACATGCTCGCGTCTTGAAACAATCTGGACGGGAGCTTTTTCGCTACTTTCGGGCTTTTGGGGCCCTTACGGGCCCTCGGGGCCGTCAAGAAACGACTCGGGATGAAACGCCAGTCCGCGGCAAGGGCTGGGACTTTCGGGGGGCCCGTGCTGAAAATATCAGGACATCGCTGGCCTGGGAAGAGGGTGGCGCGAGGCGGGCGCGGCCTTCAGGAAGGCGGAGGGGCTTCTCGCAGGGGCCTTCTTGGAAAGGCCTGGCTTCTCAGAAGCTCAGGGCTCGAGCTCACCGGTGTTTTGGCGACGTCGTGGGCGGCCGTCTTCGATTCGGTTTCATTTCGCAGCAGAGGCAGAATGGAGACGGAGCGAAGGACAGCGAAACCGACACGAGAACGAGAAGCGTTGTTCAGCTCCAGCCCTGCAGAAGCCTTCTCAGAAGCCAGGCGGCTTCCAAAAGAACCCCCCCCCCCGCCTCCTTGGAAGCGCTGCCGCCTTCTTGGAGGGCCCACCCCCCCGGCGCGCGCCACCCCCCTTTGTGGGCGCCGCTAGAAAGGGGGGCAGTCGGGGCCGCAGGGCCCAGGGCGCTGCAGGCCATGGGCACCTTGCCAGGTCTCAGTATCGCTTGACCGATCCCCATCCCCATCGACATCGACATCGCGAGCCCCATCGTCTCACCACCTCAGTTGGGGATGTGCCCCTCGAAACCCGAATAGAGCAGCCTCTATCCCCATCCAGGGCGGTAGATCGGCCAGTGGGGCCCAGCCCACGCTGGTGGGGATGGGGATCGGTTCAGCGATGCTGAAGGTCCAGCGGGGGTGGAGCAGGAACGGAAGGACCCCAGATTGCGATGGCGTCGATACGTCTGCCACACACATTTGTATACACAGACACCCACCATTGAATTGTTCCCGGGCCTCAGGAGAGGGTGGCAGTTGTTAAATCACCACAGAGCCAGCGACTTTGTACACCGCCACCCTGCCTGATAATGTATGTAAAGTTCGTCGGAGGGTGTCTGTGTAGTTACATTATTTCGTGGCGTAGTACGGGGCCCCCGGGTGTCCCAACACTTTCCTCGGGGCCAGTTTTTCATCCCGAGGCATTTTGGACAGTCCCAGAGCCCAGCGAGGACCTGCCGAGTCCGAGGGCGGCCAAACATTGCCCCGTCTTGTACGACATGAGAGCATGTCTGGGTCGCTAGGCCCAGCGGGGGACTGGTCGCCGCGCGGCAGCAATTTGTTTTGAGGTGCACCGGCCTCCTCCTCCTCCTCCTCCTCCTCCTCCTCATATTCCTCCTCCTCCTCCTCCTCCTCCTCTTCCTCCTCCTCCTCCTCCTCCTCTCAACTGACGGCCGCCGCCGTCACAAGGAAGCTGAAAGTCTTTTCTGCCCGAAACTCAAGAGCTCTGAAACCGAAACGGTTGCGGTCGAATCGGCGTCGGCGAGAGAGGGGCATCTCGGGGGGCCAGGGAGACAGTGTCGATTTCAACACCCGTCCTCGCTGTCGCACTGGCCCGAAACACGAAACACGAAATCTCGAGCGTAGCTTCATTGATACGGAAATGGCCCAGCTGGGCCAAACATGGAAGGCGATCTGGGTAGATCGCAACTCAGGCCACGCGGGGCTGATCCCCGCGCGAAGCTCGCACCGCACAGGACAGGCTCTCGCGCACAGATGCAACGGGCTGGGTCCTGCGCTCATCAGCACGGCGCCGCCGTGCAGCACGGATGGCCTCTTTCGTGGCCGCCGCCTCGGAGGAAACAGTCGTCGTCACGTAGCCGTCGCGCATGGCGTTCGTCAGGTAGCTTCTCTCCGCTTCGAGCTTCGTCAGCGCATCCGCAAGCTGCACACTGGTGTCGCACCACTCCAAGTCGACTCCATCTTGGCTTAGAAGCTCTCGAAGCGAGGCCACCACCACACGAACACGGCGATCGGCAACCTGACCAGCGTCCGCCAACAAGTGGCTCACCAGGCTGTTAGCGTCGTCGAACCACTTGGCGGGCATCAACGTCGCACTGTCGTGAACCAACTCTGCGATCGGCTGGTTCGGCTTGTCCATCTCTCCATCTCGTAGTACAACGCCCTGACCCACTCCAGCGCCTCCGCGCCTTCGGTCAAGCCGTGGGCCTCTGCCGCTATCGATGCCCGGCAGATTCTCCGAATCTTGGAGCTGCCCCAGTCCAAGAAATGAGCAGGTCCACCACCGTCCTTGTACAGGCCGTCGTCGCACACCAGGCACACGAAACCGCACTGCGACCTCACCTTCTCGCCCAGCGCTCCGAACTTCTTCTCGTCGATGTTGTTGAGGCTGCTGTCGGCGAACACACACCCACGAAGGTCGGTGTCGTTCTTGATGAAGTCGCTACGGAAGTGTAGGCACACGTCCTTCGTCTCATGGCAGTACCGCACCAGCTTGTTCATCTCCAGTAGGTCCTGCACCGTCATGGTGTTCTTCTGCTGTGCGAGCCAACTGTAGCCGAAAGAGACGTCCATCCGCAGCTGTCGCGAGAGCCATCCCAGTGAACCAATCACCGACTCTGCAAAGCTCTTCTCCTCGTCCGTAGCCAGCGCCTTGATCTGCTTCCGCCTTGCCGGTAGCATCGGCAACTCCTCCATCTGCTCCACGAAGTGCTGCATCGAGACCCTGATCGAGAAGTCCCTTGCCTGCTCCACGTCCTTGCCGCAGTACCTGAAGGGCGGCTTCTCTTCCGTCAAGAGTAGTACCTTCTTGAGCTCGTCCATCGTGTCGTTGTAGAGCTTGCTGTTCGGATCTCCGGTCGCGAACAGGTCGTCCACGTATGTGCCGATAAGGCCAACGAGGATGTCACCCTCGAAGAGCATGAAGAAGGCTCTCTCCAAGCGGCTCTCCTGCCACGAGTTGCCGCGCAGCGTCCTTCGTAGCTTACTCCACCACTTCCGTCCAGCGTCCTTGGTACCATAGATCGCTCCGTGGCACACGAACAGGGAACCAGGTGGTACTCCAGGAGGTAGTGGTGAGGGCGGTCGTAGTACCAGCATACGGTCAACATCATCTCCTTGTAGGTAGGCGCTCGTCGCGTCGAGCTTCGATAGTAGCCAGTGCTTCCTAGCCGCCGTGCTGCAGATCAAGTGGAACACCAGCAGGGAAGATGTGGGCGAATCCGTCCGGACATGCACCGACTCGTAGCAGCCAACCGCCACCAGCCTCGACTTCGCCTTGAGCGGTAGCTTGTGGTCGTACTCGTTCTTGTTGGTGTGAACCCACCTCGACGGAATAGGCTTCGCCCTCTTCAGCAGCTCCTTCGCATCGTCTCCGATGACCACGGTCACCGCCCTGAAGTTACGCCAGTTCTCCCACTCCTTGGCCATGCTCGCGTCGAACTCCTTCCGCTCGGCCTTGGTCAGGTCCGTCAGGTTGATCTCCTTCCCGCGGGAGCGTCCCGTTAACCACGCATAGGCTATCCAGCCGTGGTACACCGCATCCGAGTCGTACTCAGCAAGGTACGCTCCACCGGCCATGGGGCCGCCACCACGATGTAGGCGAGCGCGGGTCCGCTGGGGCCCATATCCAGGAAGCCGTTCAGGTAGTTCAGGTGGTTCAGGTGGTTCGGGAAGTCTTGGGAGATCTGGGGGTTCGGAAGGTTCGGGAAGTTCAGGAGGAGGTGGAGTCGCCGTCGCGTCGTTATCCTCGTTCATCTCCTCCACTTCTCCCTCTCCAGCGCCGCCAGATCCTGGATCAAGTCCGGCAGGTGCTGGGCCGCGTCCCTGACGTAGTACTGGCTCAGGTAGCTCAGCTGCTGGCTGATGCTCTGGAACCCCGGGAGTGAGATCCTCCCCAGGTCGCGGATCATCTTGAGCTGCGTCGCGCCCTTGTAGCGGTGAGCTCGCCATGCCAGCTCCCTCGGCAGGCTGTGTACTGCCTGACGGCGCCTCCGTAGTTCTCGACGCTGGAGGCTCCGGGCGCGGACCAGTCGCGGCAGTAGCCGCCGTAGGTTCCCTGCCTGATAGCGCAGCAGCTTCGGGATCTTCCAGTGCTCCGTCTTCGAGACCTTCGCGACGAACATCCAGGAATCCTCGAGGCCCTCGTGGAAGTGCCGCTCCACGCTGATCAGCAGGCATCCGATCCCAGGTGATCAACTCGTCCTCCGTCGCGAACCGAAGCTGCTCCGGTCTTGCCAAGACCGTACCGCCGCCATACCGTAGCCAAATCGCGTGAGGGCTCCCTTGCACGGCCGCAGGTCGGAGCGTGGACTCGATGCCGTCCGCCATCTTCTCGGGGTCGCGGAAGTCGTGGCCGATGACGCGCGCAACACCGAACCAACGATGGTACAGGGCAGGAGACTCACCCGGCCTAACATGGGTGCGCCTGAAGTA